TTCAATTCATTTTCCTATATCGTGACATGTATTAGCAGCTGTGTTAGCTCATATTTTTTTTTGTTTTTAAAACAACGTTACACACTAGGATTTTTTCCTGTATGTTGGCAATTTACATACATAAATTTCACATGGACAAACATCCAGACCCGGAACAATTACTTGTAGACCATACAAATACATGGTCCGTGCGGGGATTCGAACTCGCGGCCCCTAACGCCACTGCGCCATAGATACTTCTAAATAATAATAATAATTGTTTCTAATATTCGCGTACAATGCACATTAAAAGCAACCTTTTTTTTTTAATTGATTTTATCACGTTTCTTGACTTTACATTTATTTTTATACTCCCGACATTTCGAATGGTATTATTTTATAAAACTGAAGTGAGAAATGAACTTACCGTCCACTTGAATTGAAGTGGCTACTGCATTCCATGGACACCTGGAGCCAAGTTAATACTACGGGCTACAGTGTTTTTTTACAGCTCTTTACTAGTAAACTGCAAAAGATAGATCTCCCCCAAAGAATGCCACAAAGCACCGTCCTAAGCCACCTTCTTGCATATCTTACCAGTCCATCACTCCATCTAGTGGGGGGAACGTCCTTCACTTCGTTTACCAGTACGAGCTTGCAACTCGAGAACCTTTCGGTTGTCGGTTCTTCGAGCTATATGGCCGGGCCTTTGCCATTTCGGCTTATTAAAAACTGTACACTATTATGTTCATTAGATAGATTTCATCACAGAATTTTTTTTCTAACGCCCAGCCAAAGCTGGGTTGCCTCACAACTCAAAAACACTCACGCCTGTCACCCAGTAGGCAGAGACTACGGACTTCCATTTGGCGCGATCCTGACACACCTCTCTCGCCTCCTTTACATCCATATATCTACGCAATCACGCTCGTCGGTTAAGGGTACTCCTAATCTGGCCCATTTTTAATGTATCGCCGATTTGGTCGATAAACCTTCGTCTAGCGCGTTCCTTCCCGACCCTGCCGTTCACTTCTGCAACATAAATTTGCTTTGTCACTCTTTCCTCGTTCATTCTTTCCACATGACCAAACCACCGAAGCATTCCTTTCTTAATCCTTGTCACAACGTCATCTTGCACACCACACTTTTCTCTTATCATACTATTTCTCACCCTTAATATACTATATAATAATTACTTCAATAAAAAAATCTAAAATATCGAAACAAAATGATTGCCATTCTCTGGTGAAGAATTCCAAGAATGCCGGCCGAGGTATTTGCTGTTGATAAGCTATCACCGAAAGTAGGTGTGTCATTACCCTGGTCACGATAACACGGCGGTCCTCATCCGTGTGTCGCACACACGGCACGTTTCACCGTTTACCTTTTCGCGGCTTTTCTCGTGCAATGAGTGTTAAGATTTTAAAAATTGCTTACACTATATGAAGCGCGAGTCCCCGCGTGCATGGAGTATAGCTGCATACTCGCCTCGTTGGTCTAGTTGTCATAAACGAGATTGCTTATTACAAGAGAGAGTCTCGGGTTCGAATGTCGGTTTTTCTGTCGAGACTCGAGAAATGCTCAGTAGCGGCACGGAGTTTTTTTTTTATAGGATAGGGCGACAAACGAGCACACAGTCCACCTGATGGTAAGTGATTGCGGTGGCCCATAGACATCTACATCTATTTTCGTTTGCGAATCAAAATGCAGATGCGTTGTCACCCGTGAGGACTAAGATGGAATGCCTCGTTTCCAGTAAAAAGGATTCTCCGGTTCTCTACACTCACCATACGAAACACAGCAGTGTTAAGCTGCTATTTTACGCTGGTATTCTGTGAGAGTGTGGTCCTTCCCCGGTCGAGCCGACCCATTCGTCCTACAAATATAGCTGCAGCATGGTTCTACCTGTAGCGAAGTATTCCTCCAAATTCAATCTGCATATCGCTTTTACGTTGTTAGTTCTTACTAAAATAAATAGAATGAGAAACTTTTTTTATTAAATATACATTATAAATAATACTTATTGAAAGTCATTCATATGTTTAATTTATCACGGGTTCGGAAAATACCGCTGTTCTGGAAGAACTAGCAAACACCTCAGCGGGACTATTTTTTTTTTTTGAAAAGGAATATCAGTTTATAAACATTTGATATAACACTATAATTAACATTACAAAAAAAAAATAGAAATACTTTGATAACCATCACCTCACCAAGCAAGATATCATAGCAATATCAAACATTTATATAACAGTGATACCACTTACTCCACTCCAGAGTCAGAAATTCCTTCATGGGGCCTTATCTATTAAAAGTTTTAAAATATTTACCAAGCAAAAAAGCTACCAAAGAGTATATGATTGATAATAACCCCTGGGAACGAGATGATAGCTATCATGCTGTTCCTGAATGCTTTCATACTAAATGTATAAAATATTACATTGTAAACTATGCTTAAACCGGCAAAGTGCGAGTCGGACTCGCGCACCAAGGGTTCCGAAGAAATCTGTAGGTATATAAGTTTAAAATTATTAAAAATATTTTTATTATATGATGTAACTAAAAATTTATGCTTTTCGAAATTTTTCCTTTATCTGTGCTATAAAACGTTGCTTCGTACCAAATTTCAAGATTCTTAGTTCACGGGAAGTATCCTGTAGATTTTGATTCCATTGCGAATGTCGAAAATTTACGGCATAAACGGCTGTATCTTTTGATTGCGTTGGCTTAGAAGTTTGATTTTTTCATAGCTTTAAGGGACAGTAGACTTGAGTATTTGATATGAATTTCAGCTTGATACCTCCACGCGTTCCTGAGAAAAAGGGTCTTGACAGGCAGACAGACAGACGGACAACAAAGTGATCCTATAAGGGTTCCGTTTTTTCCTTTTGAGGTACGGAACCCTAAAAAAGTCTCGCTGGCAAAAGTTTTTTGTTGGTTCTTCCCAGGGCAGAGGTTTTTCCCGAACTTGATTACTTTTTGAAAATGACTTTCAATAAGTAGGTATTCTTGTAATCTATATTGAATATAAATGATTCTATTCTATTCTATTCATATATCACCAACCAAGATATACCATAAGTCAAGGTATCAATGTATGAGCAGCGATGTGGTGGTGGCACGTGTCTGCGCGTCGGTAACCTTGACGATCGATCGCCGCCCGCCGCCCTGGCGCCAGCACCACGATTTAACCACGTACCATTTTTCATGGCATATTGTGTGACAGGGCAATATCTTGATGGTGGTTCTTTGGGATCGGCCTTTGGTTTTGATAGGATTTTAATGTTATTAAACCACAATGTTGAAGTAATTATTTTAAACAGTTGGTTTAACTTTATAAGTACAAATAAATTCACTTAGTTGTTATTATTTGAATAAAATTGAATATTGAATATCTATGCATATAAATAAAGTCGTATCTGTCTGTATTATTGAAATAACTGGCTTCTTTTAAGCTTGGAGGGAGCTACTACTAAGATATAATCATCATCATCATTACAGTCCTTCACAAGTCCACTGCTGAACATAGGTCTCTCCCAAGGAATGCCACAAAAGGACCGCCCCGAGTCACCTGCATACATTGACTTAAGACATAATAACCAATTGTAATTTTTTTGTCAGTCTAACTATGTTAATTTATCAAAATTCAATAACTAATTTATAATTTACGGGTGGGCTTACGAAGATATTGTCATACCTCCCTGAAAACGTGATGCGTATAATTTAGTGTCATTTAACTCATTATGTAATTAACAAACTAATAATTCGATGAATTTCCAAAGTGGCACTCATAAGTTTAAAATAAATTAAAAGTATTATAATATAATGTTTAAAACAAGGTAAACAAGTTTAAATACATGCTTACAAATGACAAAAACACATTTTTGTAATCGTGTTTATGTAATTGATTGTCTAAGTCTATGACCGATCGTGTATGGAATATAAGTCGCCGTAATATGTCAATTGACACGGCGACGGACAATTTGTTGGCGCGACTGGCAATGCGTTAGCGCCAAAATTTGACGTTCGTAATATTTTGTAAAAATATTTTTTTAAAGATTTAAAGTAATGAACAAAACTAAGAACAGTTTTTTTTTATGAGCTAATTAGTTTAAATTTAGTGTGATCAGGAAAGTTAGTACACTCTAAAGAAATGAATGGTTTTTTTTTCTTTTTTAATTACTGTGGCTACAAGGTCTTCAGCCAAAAAGAAAATATCGAACGCTGTAATAAATTTTGGAACATATAACTTTCTTGATAATATTTTGATGCGTCACATTGCGATAATTTTGGGAGATTTTGATGGCAGCTTAAGCCAGTAGATAGTCAATGACGATAGTATCCCAGTTTCTTAAGTCGCCAAATCGGGCATAAAAACTTAAACCTTGTTCACATGCGTAGGCCTTTAATATATAAAATCTTTTATATATCAAAATCCACTTCAAACAATTATTTAAATGAATGAACTACCAATGAATGAATAAACCATTAGAAGCAATCCGCCGGTGGCCAAGATCCTGCCAAAAACTTTTCTTTTTGCTGTTGATTCAATAGTAAGACAGAGAGGGTATGTGACCTTAGCTATAAATTCATCGAATAATTTTTTTTATGGAATAAGGGTGACAAACAAGCATACAGTCCACTTGATGTTAAGTGGATACTGTGGCCCATAGACATCTACATTTACCCCTCGATTAAGAATCAAAATGCAGATGCGTTGTCACGCTGAGGGCTAAGCTAAGATGGAATGCCTCGTTTCCAATAAAAAGGGTTTCCAGTTCTCTACACTCACCATACGAAACACAGCAGCCTTAAGCAGCTATTTTACGCTGGTATTCTGTAAGAGCGTGGTCCTATTCCGGTCGAGCCGAGCCATTGGTTCTATAATTTACTCTGTGCTATAACTAATATATCTGCAGCGTGGCTCTATCACGTATAAATCTTTAACTTATTTCTTAATTTTGTTAATACCTACGCAGAAACACAGCAGATTTTATATGGCAGATTGTTTTATTTTCTAGAGCGCCCGAGCTGGGAGGCGGAGTGGTGTCGATTGGCCTATTGGGAGTTGACACAACGCGTGGGCAGACAGTTCGGGGTTCGAGTTCGGGCGGTTGACGTATTCGGGGGTGGAGGTGGGGCCTGCGGTTCGGGACGGCATGGATTGTGTCTGGACGCATTAGAATCCAGGCCCGACGCGCCGCAAGCTGATCAGGTGAGCTTAAAGAATAGCCCTTGCTAAAATAATTACTAAGTCAAATTTTAGTCTCGCTGTCGAAGGCCTGCAAATTTTTCAAGTTACAATATACAGCACTTTCATAGCTGACCGATGTATATAGTTAGACTAGCTGATATCTGCGATTTCGTTCGCGTTGCTTGATATATTAACAAAGTTTTCGTATGTGCGAAGGAAAAAAACATCAAAAAGATCGCAAGCAAAAATATACTTCGCTTACAAAAATTCGTTTGCCCGATTTGTAGCTAAAATATATAAATTATATGGCTTACTAACGCGAGAGCAAGTGATGTACAGTTGACCGTGTGAAAAACCCCGAAATCATTGTTTCTTAAAAGTTTTATAACTTTATATTAAATGAAGATACCCCAATATTTTTTTTTTAGATAAGGGCCAAGTGTCTAAGAAATAAAACTTAGAAAACGTAATTGAAATCTATCCAGTAGTTTTTTCGTGATGCGCGCACAACTGCAAACCTCAATCATTATATTTATATAGATAGATAGAAAATAGATGGTTAGTATGGACGTTACAATGTGAAATCCACGTGACAAAAAATTGAAGATCTACGACATATAATTCAAACTAATTTTAACTCTATTACCTATGTAGGCAATAAGGATAATTCATTTTGCGAAAGCATAATATAGTCAGATAAAAAAAATACGACCAAAAGTCGAGTGATAGAAAATACCAAAAGGTGTAGCACCTTAAAGATACCCAAAACTTCGCACAAATTGCAATAAGCCAGGCTTGATTGAAAATCGTCGTAAGTGTGCTTGTCGCCTAATAACCAAATGTTAATTACTAAGTAGTAAAAACACGCAATTACAAACATATGTACGATAAGGATCAGTTTCCTGTGCACCGTCGAGCCGGAGACAATTCTTTCATCTTTCGACTTGACGTACAATGCGCACAAAAATAGATTGGAAACGCGCGCGATTTGCGTCAAAATCGACAAAGAACGTGCTCCATACCGCATAGCCAGGTTGCGTACGTGATGTACCTAACCGTCGTACAGCTTTGAGAATTATCGGGGCAACTTTATCTTCGCGCAGATTCAACGAGGTTACTATAGACAACGCCAGTCCGTTTGCCAAGCGTGAACATTACGTCCAATCTTCTTAATGATGTAAGACCCTCATAAGGGTGCCAAACGAGCACACAGGCCGAGCACACAGTGGTAAGTGGTTGTTGTGACCCATAGACATCTACATATATCCTTAATAAGATGCGTTGCCACCCCTGAGGCTGAGATGGAGTGCCTTGTTTCCGGTAAAAAGTGTTTCCGGTTCTCTACACTCACCATACGAAAAACAGCACTGTTGAGTTGCTATTTTACGCTGGTATTCTGTGAGAGCGTGGTCTTACCTCGGTGGAGCCGACTCATTCGTGCTACAACCATAATAGAGGTGCAGTGTGGCTCCACCATGTAAACGTACGTTGTTTTATGTAAAAGTTATCAGTCAAAAGAATTCTCAGCATGCTTTAGGGGCAGCTAGAAACATACGCGTATTTTAGAGTTTGCATACCCTGAGGATTCAAGGCTTTTATTTGCTTGTAGATTCTAGAAAAGATTTCTAAAATTTATAAGCGGGATTGTATTTAGCCAAATACGTATCTGATGCTTGTCTGCCGACTTCAAAATGGAGACGGTACTCAATTCGCCTGTATGTTTTTTTTTATGCGATAACTTTTTACTGGGTGAACCGATTTCGATGATTCTTTTTTTATTTGAAAGCTGATACTTCACATGTGGTCCCATATGAATTTGATCGATGTCAGACCAATAGTTTTTGAGTTATTCTTAATAACTTATATTGAAGTCGGCTGTAAAACATTTTTTATTTTAAATTATTCGAAAGTTAAGGTGGTAGAGTAAAGTTAAGAAATAGTCACTGTCACAATGCAGGTGTATTATGTCTGCAGCACTAATGGTTTGGTTCGACTGGGGAAGTCCACGCCTAGTCCAATCATAGATCTCTATGGGCCACAGCGACCACTTACCATCAGGTGGACTGTGTGCTCGCTTGTCAGCCTTATCCTATAAAAAAAAACACTCAGGGGTGACAACGCATTTTTTCTAACAGATTTTAAATTGAGCATAGACGTAGATGTCTATAGGCCATAGCATCCACTACCATTAGGTAGACTGCGTTCTCGTTTGTTCACCCTTGTACAAATTGTTTTTATTGCATATCGACATAAATAATTATTAATAATAATTAATAGAACCTTAATTTTTCGTCTAGTTCTTGTCGCGTTATAAGAAATAAAAAGGAGTCTTTTAAAACAGTTAGGCGGTGAAGTAACAAGGATGTTTCCGCGCAAGTCCCCATTCGAGTATCGATAGTTGGTTATTAGTGAATAATTAGTTCGATATATCTGCAAGCAGCGTGCGTATCGGCCATGTTATCAGGGGTTATCTGTACAGCGCAAGCACAAATCAATTTACGAACGTTCGTTAGAGAAAACGCGGCCGTATATTGTGACCACTGTCTCATATATGTTTTATGTCAAATATATACATACAATCTTTCATTATTAAATATATTATATTTCCGTAAGAATTTTTATGATTAATTTTGCAGGATTATGTGAGATGAATGATATTAGCTCTTGTATTAAGCATATTATATCATTTAACGTTTTTAGAATATTAAAAGGCCTTAACGAAGTTCGTAGGTTTCACACCACGAGCGTTTTATTAGACAGGTTGATGGCGACAGCTGATATTCTCGATTTTTTTTTAGTGACTTGATATTTATTACAAAAGTAGGCTATTCAAATAGAACACATATTTTTTTTTACATATCTAACAAATGTGATATTGCCAGTAACAATTCTTTAACTGTCTTGTTCTGTCCAGTATTATTTTATTTTAAATTCTATTCTACTAAACGTCTCATATACTTTTACTTTTATAAAGAATTCAAATTCGATGTTTTCCCGAAACCATAATATTTTTGCAAGAATGTATTTTATCAAGATGTTTTTTTTTAAATTTCAGGTGCGAAAAACTCGGGCAAAGATCGGTCTCGGAGTGACGCTGTCCCTCGAGTCGGACGGGGTCTGGCTTTACAACCGTAGCCAAGAGCCAGTGTTTGTCAGCTCGCCGGCCCTAGATGCAGCCGCAGCCAGAGCTCTGCTCGTGTGGCGAGTGGCCCCGGGACATTGTCTGTGCATCTTTGACCCGTCTGCCCCACCGCCGGCCGTCTCGCTCCCGCACATAGGTCCGGTTGACCCTCGATCCGTGAGGATCTCATTCGCGAAGGGCTGGGGGCCCAAATACTCCCGGAGGGACGTGACGGCGTGCCCCTGTTGGCTCGAAGTCCTCCTGGCTCCCCCGAGCTGACCCAAAGACATTTAAAGTGAATTAGCGCTTGTGGTTATTTGTTTTTGTAAGATAATTGCATTTATTGTTTGCAAATATTAATTATAAAACGAGCAATTAAAGTATGTGATATTGAATATATGTTTTGTGAAAATAAATAACCACAAATTTATGGATTAAAGTGGATAGAGACCAGAAGTGAAGTGGTTCAATTGACTGTGAATTATTAACTGACTTTTACTGCTACATCGGGTAAATTAAACATAACAGGACTGTTATTTTGTCGGTTTTCTATTTTATACATAAGCCCTTTGGCTTTAAGCTGAAGAGCCTTAAATGTTATGTTTTGATTTCTCAAACACTAATGGCTGAAAACCATTTTTGTGAACCCAAAGACTGGGTTTATATTGTACACTTGTTTTTATAATCGGTACATTTGTTAATGTGTATTTATTAAATTATATCTACTGGGTCCTTCGGGATTTCACTCGTGTAGAGTGTGAAAAGGAGTGGAGATAGAATGGAGCCCTGGGGGACCCCGGTTCAATAACAATATTGTTTACATTAAAATTATAATAAATTGTCAATGAAATTATGTTTTCATATATATTACGCAGGTAGTTGAAACAAACAAGATTTACGTATACAATAGTAAATCATGTACAATTACATTTTTAAAGCTACATAACCTAATAGTAGATTTTTGCTTATAAAAAACGTTAACTTACACGTGTACAAACGTCCAGACCCGGAACAATAATTTGAATGGCATACAAACAGTGCCTAGTTTTGGATTTGAACCTGCAGCACATAACACAAACGCAAAAAATAGATGCACAAAAGGCGTTAAAATAGATAATTTGCTATTTTATTAATCAGAATTGAATTGACCAACCTCTGTTTGTGGTTTGTCACAAACAAATAGATGTTAACGCTCGCCCAGATTGGAATGGCCAATTTTGCTGTGGAGCGTTTTTTGAACGCCTCATGTTCCCTCTGGTTATGCAGTTTTGTTTAGTTTTACATTTAGTGTGAGCCGAAACAGTTTTGATCGACAAATTGTTAATTTTGTATATATTATATTTATAAATATTTATATTCACTGTCAAATGAAATATGGAATGAGATAAAACGTCGGTTTGCACACAATGTGAAGCTGCCTTTATTTTTATATATATGTATATAAAGCAGATGTACCAACATAGTCACAGGCACAATTCGTGCTTAACCGTGTAATTGTATAACTCGGCTTTAATAAAACGCGAGACTGTGTATATAAAATTATTAAATGTACTATAAATATTTGTAATTAACTATTTATAATTATGAAATATGCCTTATGTAAGGATTGTAATTATTTAAGACGTAGATTAGACCTACTTTATTTTTTGTACAAATGAATTGACACAACTTTGTATCGAGAATCGGGCGGTAAAGAAACAAACGCGAAAAGACTGTGCGCAACGCATTTTAACCGATATCAGATTCGGAAGTGTCTTGAATTGTGGGCAACCCAGAATGAATATAGTGCTCTTAGTTTTCGTAGTTCGAGAAAGATCTGCCAATGTTTATAAAGAAATTCTTAATGGAGATAGTGCAATGTGTTGATTTAAATAGATAGGTAATATAAAACCAGATATAAAAAACTGTGCCTTGCGTTGTATTCAAAGTATATTGAGAATATAACCTCAAAATTTTATAGGGTAACACTTGTCAATTTTACTGGCCTAAACGATTGAGTGTAATATATTAAATAATGTTAAACAAAGCTCGAATTTAAGGAGTGCTTAGACAAAGTGAGTCGACTTGACAATAAGATTTTTTTCATTCTAGTCCTTTTGTGAACATTCTAGCTTTGTCTGTTTGTTATGACTATGATGTGGAGGGCCAGTTAGCGAATGTGGATGTCAAGCTGAACGTATATTTTGTATCGAAACCAAAACAGTACCTGGTATTTTAAATATCAAATCCGTCAAAATTATGGAAGCGAGAAATATATAGCATTTATGTGGATGACTGGGGATAGTCGCTGTTTATTCATTTATTACATTATATTTTGCTTATTACAAACCATAAAATGTAATAGCTACTGAAAAATGCATAATCCGTAATCACTTCTTTTATTAGAAAATAAATTTTAACCATAAATTACTCAATTCTGTAAACACGTTGCTTATTTTGTTAATATATATATAAAAACTGCACCAATAGACTGAATTTCCAACCTTTTCAGAATTCAGGATTTTCTAACGGATTTTTACTTATTAAAAATATTTAAAATCGTTAATTAGTTTTGCTTTGATAGTGTAATTTTTTAAAAGGTTGGTTAATTCGAAATTTTACAATTCAATAAACAACAAGATTGTTGAAGTTTTTTCGAATTTAATTACAATAGGTACTAGATATTTATTTTAAACGTTTTTAAATATACACAATATTCATTTGGAACAATATATATTTCTCTCATATTATGGGTCATGGTCATTTAAATTTTATTCGTTTGTTTAGGAAATTTGTCATAAAATTGTACCGAAAACGTAAATAATTTACCGTTGCCTTTTTTGATATCTATAAAACGCTTCTTGACATATTTTAAACAATGTATTAAATGATTGCATGCATTATCTGAAACCTTTATGCATAAATAATATTCTTAAAAAGATTTTATTTTACACTGTTATGTTTCTGTTTCTGTACCCATAAAAATGACCAAGTTTTCTTGAAAATTATTTTTCCTCATAACCCATAAAACTGCTTTGTTTAGAAAATGTTAAGAACAGGAAAATATGTAATTTTTCTTAAACTAACATAAATAGCGACCGTTCTCCATGATTCGCTGGTTTATTGTTGTGAGTCTGACTGAGATGAATGAGATTAGATTATGATAAATTATAAATAAAGAAAGAGAATATTTTTAAATCTAGTGGTTTTCTTTACACCTTATCCGTAAATCAATTTCTATACATATTGACAAGATCACGTACAATTTAAAACATAATATTTACAATGTAAATAAGTAAATATAATAAAAAAAATATCTAAACTGTCACTCTAACATTTACTCCAGTTTCTTCAGCGTTGTATTTGGAACGAGGAAGCATCCGAAACCGCAAACTGAAAATAGAACACGATTTAATTATTTAGTGTAGTGCGATTTAGTAGTAAAAATAAGAATTTAGAGTGATATTTTATGGAATTTAGCTTTGTGTTTAACTTTTAAAAAAATCCACATCTAATTGATGCCAAAGGTATTAGGCAAAATGTTGCCTATTTTTTATTGATGCTAGCTCAATATATTTAAGTTTTAGCGCCATCTAGTGATGAATAATTGTATTATGAAGTATGACACAATTTGAAAACATTGTTTTGATGTTGGAAGAGTAGACACAGGTAGCAATGCTTCAAAGGTGCTATTAATTTTCTGCTCATCAGATGTCGCTAGTTGACACTGAGGTAAAGTTTTTTGTTACACGATGTCATTTAACTGAGAAGTTAGTTTTTAATCAAAGTTTATCAATTTCTAGAGCATTACATTAATACACATGGTAGCGGCAGCAGCACGAATGTGTCGATCCGACCGGGGCAGGACCACGCTGTCACAGAAAACCAGCGTGAAATAGCAGCTTGATGTTCAGTATGAGTGTAGAGAACCGGATTCCCTATTTACTTGCAACGAGGCATACTATCCTAAGAGTAATAGTGTTCTGTGACCTTAGTCCTCAGAGGTGACAACGTATCTACTTTTTCGGAGCGAGATAGATCTCCACTTATCATCAGGCTGACTGTGTGCTCGTTTGCTGCCCTTATTCTAAATATATAAGAACATAAAAAAAAACACGATTAGAATCTTAATTAGTTACTTAACACTCCAGTGCTCTCAAAATTTTACATCGCTTCTCTTTCTCAATAAATAGTACATAATATTCGTAACAATTTTTTTTAAACACCGTAATAAAAGAAATGTAGGTATAATTTTTATTTTCATTACACCGAACAAATTTTCTTACCAGCCAAAACGGCGGAAATAGTAAGAAATGGTGGCAGGCAACCGTAGTCGATGAGGGCAGGAAAAATGACAGTTCCGGCGATGGTGCCCAAACGTCCGCTCATTAGGAACGTCGCCATAGCCATTACTCTGTCAACAATTACCAATAAATTATTAAGTATTTAATTGGGTATCACATAAAACATATAATTTTTTTCTTATCTTTTTATCCTTATGAAATTGAAGTTACTTTTTTTGTACATTAAGTAGTCTTTTCATCATCACATAATTATGTATGTCATTGCTGAACATCGTTCTTTCACATAACTGTTATAACCTTCTTGCATAACCGTCACACTTGACGGAGGCGTTGTCAAAGTGGGCTAATAATTTTCCGCTCACCAGATGTCGCTAGTTGGGGTTGAGGTAAAGTTTTTTGTCACACAATGCCATTTAATTAAGAAATTATTTTTAAATAATTTTTATCAGTTTCTAGAGTATTATAATAAAATACAAAACAATGCCTCCGTGGTTTGCTATTTAATTATTTCCACATTTTTTATTCCTTTTTTTTAATTTTTTTCAAGGAATATCCGTAGATTGGTTTATTCGTTTCTAAACTAATGAGGGCTAATAATTTTCTGCTCACCAGATGTCACTAGTTGGGATGGAGGTAAAGTTTTTTGTCACACAATGACATTTAACTGAAAAGTTAGTTTTTAATAAAAGTTTATCAATTTCTAGAGTATTACATTAATACACTAAACAATGCCTCAAAGGTTTGCTCTTTAATTTTTTGCACATTTTTAACTTTTTTTAATTTTTCTGCTTTTATGAATACCTGTGGTTTGGTTTATTTATTTTTAATGTAATTAATATAAAATATAACTAATAGTACGTAAATAAACATTAACGTTTACATTTTCCGAACAAATTAACTTCTCCGCTATGAAATCTGTCAAATATTATACATCACTTTCTAGTGGCGCCGCCCTGGTGGCAGAAAAAGTCGTGGATGTCCTCATTGCAATGCTCAACGTTAGGCACTTTTCTACGCTTGTAACCCACTAAACACTCACCGATAATTTCATAGTCCGCGAGCAACCCCACTTCGATTTCCACGACATTAATTAAATTGTTGATTGCTATTGCTGATTTAGCAAGTGCTCGGCGGTGAAGGGAAACATCGTGAGGAAACCTACCGTTACCGTTACAGCCTATTAAAGTCCACTCCTGAACAGAGGTCTCCCCCATAGATTGCCTCTTAGGGGTATAGTTGCCACGCTTGGCAAGCGGGTTGGCAAGAGCAGTTTTTTATTTTCAGTCGTTATTGGGAATACTACACGGCAGCACAGCACAGCACAGTTTACATTTACTAAACCAAATGCCGTCAATTCTAACTCATACCTTAAAGACGTAGGAAATAAGTCTACATTGATGCTAGACAATGATGCTCCGCAAAGAGAAGTGAAGGAAAGCGCAGTGGTGACCATCGCGACCACGGCGAAGGCCCCTGTACCCAGGAACGGCATCAACACAACTGTCACGGCACTAACTATGCCGCAGAAGCCTGCCACCAGCTTTTTACCGCATCTGTGGTAACAGTTGGACATGACCCATACTTTTAGAATTTGGGATAGGCACCTACGCGAGCAAATAACACCACTATTGTATAATGATTTCTTATATTTACGCGAACACTACACATTGAATAATAAAACTACTGTTACGAATGTTCTATAGCGTTTATTTAACTTATTTTTTTAATTAACTTCCCGACGTTTCGGATGCTTTACAGCACCCATGGTCACGGGGGACTTAGGTGATTGACATCCCGATGTCAGAGTTAACCCGGAGTACCTTCAGATTTTTTAATTATTAATTATGGTCCGATCTACGCAGTATGAACTTACTGTGTCTTGAAGTCTTGCAGTGGTATGCTTGGGTTTAGTTTTAATTTTATTAATTACACGATCCCAAGCAGGTGGTAGTACTCAGCCTCCCTCTCTATTGAAATTAGGATGTTTTTTAATTTCAATAACCTTACGTACCATCCTTGGCAGGAATCTTGATCATCAAAAATTTGTGGTTTTAAAACCCTCGTAAAACAACATAGCTGACGTGAACGTGAAACATCAACGTTCCTGGAAGTCTGCAGTTTGTGAATATCCTAGACGGCCCCCGCCGTAAATTTGATAAACCTTTGTTACCAAAGTTTTATAAGCGCTTAGTCCTGGTCTACGAAAACTTTTTTACCCCTGAGAAAAAGATGGAATGCTTCGTTATTATTTATTCTTTAGTTTAGTTTTAGTAGTTTTAGATTAGTTCTTCTCGGCCGAGCTAACAAGCCGGTCACTGCAGGGCCGCTGCACCACTATCCAGCTCGAAGGAGCAACATTTTATTGCCTTCAGTAAAATAGCGTCGACTATAATTAAGCTATATACAATATTTATTAACGGAGTTTAGACTGACGTGCTCGTTGATTGGGTCCTAATACGAAAGCGTAAAATTGCGTGGTATTCTCTGGCGCCGGTAAATGTACTCGCGCGCTGTGTTGAGTATTATATTAGTAGATTTTATTATTTGGATGTATTAAACAATACTTACTATTTTTTTTGAGTTTAACCAAATGGAAAGGTTGTTCCATTTGGTTTTGTCTTTAACTATGATGGTTGGTGGCGGCTTTTAACTACATTCAGCAGCGGGTTTCGCCGCGGGCTTTGGGGGCTGAGCGCTCGCCGTGCGGGCTGGCTTTTTCGCCGGTGTGGCGTTCGGGAACGAGGGGGCTGAGTGAGGCTACGCCGCCTATTTAGGGGCGGAAGCCTTGGTTGGAGGCTTGGACGGTGCGCATGTCTCGGTCTCCATGTCGGAGCCGAATTCCGTATCCGAGTAAATAAGAGAAGAATAACTTAATAATGTTGTCCGATAATTTATTATTGTATGCGTTACTATACCTATTAACTATAGCGCCACCGATGCTATAAGTGAGTACGGAGCCGGCGCCGACCATAGCACTCTGTAGGTAGGTGAGCATGTCCGTCTCTAGTGGCGTGCAGGAGCTCTCCGTAGATGTAGTAACAGGGGCGATCGCTGAACACAGCGTTCCATTGACGTCTGACCCGATCATCGCTGCCAACTGAGGGTACCAGAGGCGGAGGGTGTTGGAACTAAAAATAAAACCAGTTTCACAGTAATCTATACATCTATACAAATAAATAAAATTGAAGTGTCTGTTTGTAATGTCGAAATAACGTCTTTTTACTATATGCATATGAAATTATATACGGTACTTATAACAAAAACACAATTTTTAAAATTTTTGTCTGTCTGTCTGTTTGTCTGTTTGTTCCGGCTAATCTCCGAAACGGCTGCACTAATTTTGACCGGACTTTCACAAGCAGATAGCTGACGTTATATGAAGTAACTTACTTTTACTTTAGAAAAATAATTGGGGTTCCGCGCAAAAAAATATAACCAATGAAATCCAATCGTAATAAATTACGCGCGGGCGAAGTCGCGAGGAACAGCTAGTTAGTAAAATAAAATCCAAGCCCAAGTAATTATCTACTGCAAGACTTCAACGTAATGTAAGCTCATTCTGATAGATCGGAACAATATATATATATACACAAACTGTTCTCCGCCATAATCAACGCAAGAATCAGTCCTATAATTGACGCTAGACAACCTATAGAACAAGCAGGTTTCAGAAAGGAGTTCTTTACAGTAGACCACATACACACGCATGGGGTAATTATAGAGAAGTATCAAGAGCATGAGAGACCCCTATATCTCCTTTGTCGACTATCAAAAGGCACGGTAAAGGCCTGCGACACGGTAACACACACAAGCATATATGGGAAAGCTTGAAACATCTACATAACAAGCTTCAAACATCTTAAGACATCTACATATACCTTCGATTAAGAATCTAAATGCAGATGCGTTGTCACCCGTGAGGACTAAGATGGAATGCCTCGTTTCCAGTAAAAACGGTCTCCGGTTCTATATATATATATATATATCGGTACACACACACACATATATATATATATAAGCTCAGGGAGTTATTTGTATGCTGTTATTATTTATTTCTCTGTCTGTCTGTCCGGGCTAATCTTTGGAATGGTTAAACCAATAGTGAATTTTATAGACCAATAGAGAGCAATGCGTCTATGTTTATCTTAAATCTGACTACATTAAAAGATCCTATCCAGGTGAAGCCGGGGCGGGTCGCTAATTTGTTAAAAATAAACTAGGTACTAAGCATGCGCAACTGCGACGTGGATAGTGCACGCAATTGAGGGAGGGCGGAACGTGCTCATCTAACTAGGTAAGACGCATCATTTTTATTTTTACGCAGATCTTATACACAAATAATTAATCGCTAAAGTTGACAAAAAATTACATTGCGTACATCCGCTCCACAAAATAAAATGATGTGTCTTACCTAGTATGAAGAGCACCTCCCGCCCTCCCTCAATTGCGTGCACTATCCCTGTCACCACTAATCCCAGCACCACTACTCCCAACACCACTAAACTAGGTAAGGCACACCACTGATGACAATACGACACGTGTTTCGCCTCTACACGAGGCATTCTCAGGTGATATAGACTCTACGGTCGCTAACCGCAAAGTCACTTGTCGTATTGTCGTCAGTGGTGTGTCTTTCCTAGTGTAGTGGTGTTGAGCAAGAGGCGGTGCAGCAGTAATCAAAATAGAAAGGGCTAAAAAAATTGTATATACATATAAATATACATATACATATACACACATGAATACACATATATACTTAAGTACACACAATATGTTCATATATAAATACATACATACACATATACATGCGTACAGTACATACAGTGCATACAGTAAAAATCTTCAAAATCGTCTGTGTCCTTCAAGAGCATGACCAAGTATTGGTATGTTTTTTTACGTCACATCTCATAAAAAGTCACAGACTATGTTCTGTTACTTTCTGTCTCACCCATAGATTGCCTCACAGGGGGATATTTGCCATAGTTACCACGTTTGCCTGGCAGGCTAGCAAGCGAGGACACCTACTGGATGATATGAGATAATGGATTCTTTTTATGCACCATAACACGGCAAACGTAATTGTATTAAGGTCTAGTTACTTATATACTATTTAGTTACTTAGAGTATATTATGCTTCGTAGAGTCACTCTGAAACTATTGGCTGCAGTGCGAATTGGTCGGGTGGACCGCGAAAAAACCATAACATTTGCATAACATACCAACTTAAAATAGGAGCATTATACTTCTGTTTTGCAAGGTAAATGGACTTAGTCCTTAGTAAAGTATTTACAGTACTATTTTTAGTTTTAATTTTTATATTCTCTACTTTCAAATTAGTGTTCCGCGTTACGCTACAGGGGACATTTTTGATGTGAAACATCTATCTAGCGCCCTGACAGTAAAACCGAATCGTACGCCGTGACGGCAAACGGCATGACCACAGAGTACTTTTTATATACTGGGTATGACGCTCTCTTATGACGTCATGCCCCCATTATGCAACCGCTCTCAACTCCCTCGTGTGTGCGTGCGCGTATGCTAATATACACTACGTTGCTACTCTGTGTGACTTATGTAAGTACTGCGTGAATTTTTATTGCACTATAGTATACTTGACTTGTCTATTTTACTCCATATTTCTTTATTCGTTAATTATAAATTCTATTTTCAACTATGGTGTTTCTCATCTATCAGGTGTCCCGTGACGACCCATTTTTTTAAAACACTTCCGAGTGTGGTACTTACGCTTTTTTTAAAGCGTAAGTAAGTTTAAAAAAATGGTTTTATAAAAATCGGACTTCAAAAAAGCCGTGCAAAGAATAAGTCGTGTTTGTTTGTATGTTCTTACCCAAACATGCATCCCATGTGAATTGAACACATGAGCAGAAGCCAAGCACCATGGGGTGGTTTAAACAGCGGCGCCAGCTGGGTCCAGCCTCCTTTCAACGCATCTACCCCCCGACCCTGTTGCTGCGATCTCTCCTGCACTAACCTAGTCACCTGTGTAGAGAATCGCTAATTAGTTTATAAGTATCTCAAAGTGTGGTCCTGCACTACTGGCCGTATGAGGAAACTCAAGTTGTCTTGGCTACCCTCGAGGTTTCCCTACGTGATCAAAATAGTTAAGTTGCTTAAGTATCTCTGCTTGGCTCGTGGTTGGTTGGTAGAGAATATTCCTAAAGGTATTAAGTCCGCCAATCGTACATTTTAAGTGTAATAAAGATTTTAAATAAATAAATAAACTTAGAAATGAGGACCTCCGCAGTAGAACTAGAGTAACCGACATAGCCTAACAGATTAGTAAGCTGAAATGAGAAAGGGCCGGCCATATAGCTCGAATAACCGACAACCGATGGGGAAGAAAGGTTTTCTGGGTTGCTCTTACCGATATGAAGTGGCAACCTCGTTCCGGTAAGCGAAGTGTAACACGGTCTCCCCTACGATATGGTAAGATATGCAGGACGTCGGTGGATGCATGTGGCTCAGGATCGTGCTTTGTGGCATTCCTTGGGGGAGGCTTATCTTCAGCGGTGGACTTGTAAAGAACTGTAATAATGATGAAATCTCAAAGGCTCGTATATTTGTCTTTGTATTTGATAAAAATTTAAAATACTTTATGGAATTTGACACTGATTCCATCAACATTTAAAGGTTTTTTTTTTTAGTATAAGGGTGACAAACGAACACACAGTCCAGATGGTAAGTGGTTGCTGTGGCCCATAGACATCTACATCTATCCACGTTTGCGAATTGAAATGCCGATGCGTTGTCACCCGTGAGGATTAAGATGGAATGCCTCGTTTCCAGTGAAAAAGGGTCTCCGGTTCTCTACACTCATCATACGAAACACAGCAGTGTTAAGCTGCTATTTTTTCGCTGGTATTATTTGAGAGCGTGGTACTTCCCCGGTCAAACCGACCCCTTCGTGCTTCAACTATACAATTAATATAGCTGCACCACGTAAAGTTTTATTGTATTGTGTGTGCGTGCGTGCGTGCGTGAGTGCGTGCGTGCGTGCGTTTGTGCAACAAACGGAAACTAGAACAGATAATGGGCAGCAGAATTTACCTAATAACAACTTCAAATAATAAGAAACTGCGGTTGCCAACTTGCCAAGTGTGGCAACTATAGCAAAATCCCTCCTATCGGGAAATCTAGGGGGGAGGCCTATGTTTAGCAGTGGACTTTTATAGGATGTAATGGATGGATGGATTGATACTCTAGCTTAAACCTGTGCGTAATTATAAACTTCTTTATATAACAACACTAACTGTCCAGGCAGACATTGTTCTGCCCTTTGACATTGAAAAATCCATAAATTCGCAATAAAAAATATTGGGAGTCACGTATCGGGATTAAAAACTGTCTCTCTTAAGTTGGAGCAAGCCATACACATTAACAAAATTCTATTAAAATCGGTCAAGCAGTTTCGTAGATTAGCGTGAACGAACATCGTGATTTTTATATGTATATTAAGATTGGTTGTGTTTTCACTCGACTACCAAAGAGAGAGGGTAAACACATCAAACGGCTTGATAGAATTTAACATAAAGGATGTCGTAGATTTGTCTTTTTTTATAGAATAAGGGTGACAAACGAGCACACAGTCCACCTGATGGTAAGAGGTTGCTGTGGCCCGTAGACATCTACGTCTATCCACGTTTGCGAATTAAAATGCAGATGCGTTGTTACCCGTGAGGACTAAGATAGAATTCTCCTTTTCCAGTAAAAAGGGTCTCCGGTTCTCTACACTCACCATACGAGACACAGCATTGTTAAGCTGCTATTTTACGCTGGTATTCTGTGAGAGGGTGGTCCCTCTCCGGTCGAGCTGACCCATTCGTGCTATAACTATAACATTAATATAGCTGCGGCATGGCTCTACCACGTAAAAAACTTCTTAGTTGCGTGAATAACATAGGGTATAACATTTTCTATTTTCACTAAACTTTTGTACGCTGTCGGGTTTTTTAATCAAATTTTTAACCATTTAGCTTGTTTGTTTAAACAGTGTGGCTTCACAATCCATACGATCATTAGTAAGTTACAACTAACATCGGCTTGAGTCAAAAACATCTGGATATATCCGAATTAATCCGACATTGTTAAGAACGGTTAAGTAGCGACGTAGTTTTAATAATACTGTGGCAGCGATTAGCAAGCCCGGCTGGGATCGCACACAATTAATATTGATTGGTGTGGTGTAAGGCGATTAAGGCCATAGACACCAGGCACTGTTATTATTAAAGCGAATGTATTCTTTGGACATTTGAATTTAAAATATTATAATTTAAAATTAAAGATTTTGTACAGCCGACTTCAATATAAGTTTTTTTTTTTTTTTTTTTTATAGGAGAGGGGGCAACCGAGCATGCGGCTCACCTGATGGTAAGTGACTACCGCCGCCCATGAACAACTGCAACACCAGGGGAATCGCAGATGCGTTGCCGGCCTTTTAAAAAGGAGTACGCTCTTTTCTTGAAGGTCCCTAAGTCGTATCGGTCCGGAAAAATCGCTGATGGTAATCGATTCCACAAGGAGGTCGTGCGAGGAAGAAAACATCTTCTAAATCGCACAGTGGTGGACCGCCAATCATCCAGATGGTGTGGATGGTATCGGGAATTCTGCCGCGATGTGCGTTCGTGAAATTTGGCGGCTGGGATTAATCCGAACAATTCCTCAGAGCACTCCCCATGGTAGATGCGAAAGAAAATGCAAAGGGATGCAACATCTCTTCGCAGTGCCAATGAATCGAGCCGATCGGAAAGGGCTCGGTCGTCGACAATTCGAGCCGCTCTGCGTTGGATGCGGTCAAGTGGAAGGAGCTGGCACTGGGGAGCCCCTGCCCAGAGATGGGAACAGTATTCCATGTGAGGCCGAACTTGCGCCTTGTAAAGTAGCAGGCGGTGTGCCGGCATGAAATACTGTCCCGCTCTGCTGAGCACGCCAAGCTTTTTAGAGGCCAATTTGGCCTTCCCTTCCAAGTGACCACGAAACTGCACGTCACTCGATATGTCGACTCCGAGAGTAGTGTAGTTGTACCACTTCTAGACCACCTGAGTCAGACGTGGTTCAACGACGTTCGTCGACGCCCGAACCTAAAAAAAAAAAAAAAAAAAAAAAAAAAAAAAAAAAAAAAAAAAAAAAAAAGGTTTTGGCATGCTCTTCTTTCTTTCTTTGCTTCTTTTTTGTATAGAATGCACGGTTCCGGAGATGTGTAGATCAATTAGCTAATATCTAATTGATATCCGGTAAGGGCCTCCACCGTCATTAGCGTCCCATTGTTCCTATTTCTATTGTTCTATTGTTCATTAATCACCCTCATTGCAGCGTGTGCGTCGACTATATCAGTGCTATTGTTTATTATAATTCTTTGTTTATACAACGCTAATCTGAATCATCAATAAAACACATTACATAATTTTGTTACAATTTTTATTTATAAAATACAAAATCTTATTAATTATTATCTATAAAATAGGAGCGAAACATCTCATCCACTAAAATATCGTTGTACAATGTGTTCCTTGTAAATATACTCGTAAAACTATGTATTGAACATCCTTGAAACTTATATAGTAAATACATTAAGCAATATTCGCCACAAACTGAAGTCCACTCATTCTGAATCCTATCAACATTCCAGTTCCATCTTTTACAATTCCTTTTTAAAAACTCTAGATGATATCGTACAGGTGATCGTCCATATGAATCAAAATATTGACCGACGTCATTCGTATCGATATATAAAGCTACCCAATGTGACCCTGGTTTATCATCTGTATCCAAATTACATATTATATACGTTGGTACGTGGGTATACATAGGCAGTCTATTAGCTGCATAAACATTATTTTCTAGACTGGGGTGAATCTTTTTCAGATGTTGTTGTACATCTAGTGTATCCATGATATTACTGCTATTAGTAGATTATTACAGTACCTAGCTACTCAATGAATAACATAGGAATGGTCAATTATAGTGATTTCTACATATTAAATTGCATTTTTGTGATATACAAATCGTACTTGAGTCATTGATCACCAAACAAAACACAATACGAAGAAATGTTGAGATAGGCAACGGAAATGTGAGATAAACTGATATGTTTCTAAATATTAAATTGCATTTTTGTGTTATACAAATCGTACTTGAGTCATTGATCACCAAACAAAACACAATACGAAGAAATGTTGAGATAGGCAACGGAAATGTGAGATAAACTGGTTGACGCATAAAGTAATTATCAACTCATTACGGAAATACTTTAGATTAGAATTTTTACGTACTGGTGGTATATAAGACCAACAAACGCAGTCATCGAGTTAGTGTACGGTCGTTTGGCTACAGTGGATCTATCAATAGTACATTTGTGTTACTTCAATACACCAAAGGCTATGGATGTAAGTGTTTATTCTATTGACTAAATTACTTTTTTTCTGTTATTTTCATGTGTGTGTGTATTATTTTATTTAAATATTGTGTATGTATATGATTAAGCCGTGGTAACTCAGATGGTTAGCGCTAGCTGTAAATTTCACAGTACGCGACCCGGGTTCGATCCCCGCCAGCACCAATTAAATTGTTAATAGCAATTTTAAGTGCTTATTACCACGTACTTGGTGGTGAAGGAAAACATCGTGAGGAAACCTGCATGTCTGAGAAAATTTCGAAGGCATGTGAAGTTCACCAACACACATTGAGGGAGCGCGGCGGACATTTCCTTGCTCTAAAACCCTCTCAGAAATGAGAGGAGGCCTATGTTCAGCAGTGGACTTTAATAGGCTGTAACTTTAACTTTTTTAACTTTTATGATTAAGTGTTAACAAATTGATATTAACATGATAACTGTGTTGTTGCAGAAATCATTGAGCTTCGATGAAGATACCTATAAACAGTATTACTACTCGCCACTCTCCCCTCAAGAAGAGAGTGATAACCTCGTCATTAATAATAACACATGCGATGGTGGAAAAAGAAAATCGCAATCGATTGATCAT